GCCCGACGCTACCTTCCCGGCCTCGGTCGGGAGTCACAGCCCCTCACCCGGGCCTGCCTGGTCCGCCCCGCGCCTCCCGCTCTCGGCCCCGGTTCCCGCCATCGGCCCCGCTCCCGCCCTCGGCCCTGGCTCCTGCCCCGGTAGCCTCCTCAGTCCGCCGCTGCTGCGCCGCTCCACGCTCTCTTCCGCACTCCGTTGGCTGAAGAACGTCCGGAGCGCCCGCTAACGCCCGACAACGGCCGACAACAGCAACATCCGGGCTCTCGCCTCCCGCAGAGGGGAGGGGCTGAGGGCGGAGCGCGGACGCCGGAGTGGACGGGACTGAGGGAGGAGCCGACGCCGGCGTGGGCGGGGCCAGGCTGGGTGTGGTTTGTGACACGTGGTAATTGTGCCTCCGTCACAGACTCCTCCTGAGAGTGACATGAGCTTGTCCCCCGACCATCGCCATGGCCTCCGTCCTCGCGGTCAGGCACGTGCCATGCCATCGGCTCACAGGGAGCTCAGTCTTAGCGTCTGTGATATTCGTGTCAACAGCAGGAGCAGATTCTGCTCAAAATTCACGATGAAAAGACGCGCTGGGGACTCTGGCGGTGTGAGAGCCCGGCAGCCTCTGTCCATTCCTCACGCCCGTCCTTATCTTGTTCCTGCTTCTCTTTTTCCCGTTTGCGTCCCCGGGAACTGCACTCACTTCCTCCTTGAGCACAGGACACGGAAGGGCCCACGGAGCCCGCTGTCCCTCTGCGTCCCACCCGCCCCGTCCAGAGACCCCGACTTCACTCTCCACACACATGCTGCTGTTTTAAAGACATACGAAAGCTAGTGAGTTAGGGCGAACACGAGAAATAATGCTGTGATTCAAGAAACCCCTAATCAATAAGGCTGATGAAAGTTTTCAGAAAAGTCAGGTCCCCCAAGTATTGATTTCCTTAAATGTAAACACGAACTTTTATAAAGTTCCCTCCATGTGTTCAAGCCCATTTCCTAGGGATATGGAGTGCACAAAACACACGTGCACACATGCACATCACCCACACATGCACACACACACGTGCACATGCATGATACACATGCCACACATGCACATCTGCATGTACACATGCACACCTGCATGAACATGTGCATACACACGTGATTGCACATACCATACAATGCACACCTGCATGCACACATGATTACACAACCACACATGCACACATGATTGCACACACCACACATTGCACACCCTCATGCACATGTACATGCTCATGATTGCACATGCCATGCACATCTGCATGCACATGTGCACACACGATTGTACATGCACACGTGTGCAGTTGCATGCACATTCATGTACAGGATACACTCTTTTTTTGGTATTTTGTAAGTAGCTAGGAAGATCTAAAACATACTGAAGGGAATATGTGTTCATTTGGCATGACAACTTTACACACAGTATCAGCAAGAAACCAAGAGATCAGTAGGTGTCTGTGTGAATGAAAGGACTTTATTAATTCCTCTGTCCATCATCTGTCCGCTGACAAAGAAACTGAAGACACAGCACAGCAGGATGTTCCCTAACCTGGGGCGCCCGCCTGCCGCCCCCAGCCCACCCGTATCTGCAGGCCTCTGTCCACTTGCCGACTTGGTTGGCCTCCTTCCTTCTCAGACCTGTCCAGCCGGCCCAGATGGGCTCTGGAGCTCTCAGTGGCATCTGCTGTGTCAGCACCATGGCTTCCATGGCTATGTCACCACCAGCACCTCCTCCACCACCAGAGGACCCAGCCCGTGGATCTGGCACAGGCTGATGATGGGTGAATTTGAGGCAACATCCATGGAACGGAGAATGAGAGAGCAATAAAGCCACCGTCCAGTCCTGTCCTATCCCGGGAGGAGTCTTTACCTCAGGGGGGCTGCGGGCTCACCTAGAGATGGAGGAAGCCTTTGCTGGTGTGTGCAGAGTGTCAGGCAGGGTTCCAGGGCCTGCTTTTTGTGTAGTCAGGAATGTTGGTGCTGGAGACGGGGGCAGCTGCAGGGCAGGGCCTGGGTCACCCCCCTCCTGTGGGTCATCCACTTCCAGCAGGGTCTGTGGCTCAGCACCACCTGCAGGGGCTTCCGGGTGCCAAAATGGCGCAAGGTGAGGGAGCAGGTTGTGGGGGAGATTGGGCTCCTGAGGCCTCAACCTCCTGCCTGTGGCTTCAGCCCCTGCAGAGTCTCTTTTTCCATCAGCTGTTGATAGGAAGGAAGTGGATCTGTGATTCCCTCATGTAATCCTAGCTCATGAAGGCCCTGCGTCTGCCGTGTCTTCAGGGGATCCCATTTACTGCATGGGGGAGTTCTGAATACTCTAGGCTCTCAGGAAACATCCATCAAGGATAAGCCAATGAGGAAAAGCTCACTGAGCACCTGGGGTGGGTGGCCGGGAGGCTGTGGGGACTAATGGTCCTGCTGCTGCAGAGATCCCTGGGTCAGAGAACTCATGGACAGCATCAAAACAATGCAGCAGGAAGAAAGCCTGCCTTTCCCACTGAGCCGTAGCCCTGCTCCTGGAGCTGGAGGATGGCGGATGCGGGTCCCAGGGTCCGTGGCTGCTCTTGTGACCACAGGGACCTGGTGCCATCATGGCCCCAGCCCACTCTGAAGGGCCACTGGGGGCCATATACAGGGTGTGCTGGGGAAAGGAGCTCTAGCCCTACAGGTCTCCCGTAAACTCAGTCCACCCTGTAATCACAGTTGGCCACCGTCTTGTCTTTATGGATTGGAAAACAGGATCACAACAAAGTGAAGAGCAACCTGAGTGCCCAGTGAAAGCCTGGGGAACCCTGGTCCACAGGGTAGGGGCAGGGGAGAAGATAAAGAGACTCACCCATGAAAAGAGGGATTTGCAAACGCTATATGGGAACTTACAAAACCTAGAATGACCAGAAAGTCAGACCAAGATCCATGAAACTGATATGAATGTCCAATGAACAGCTCTGCGTGCCTTGCTGGGGTGTCCCTCAGACCCAGCCACTCAGCATGAAAACCCTGCATTTGTTTACATGTTCCTAACTCAAGTTTCATAACAAATAAACCCTCCAAAGCTATGAGGCATATTGTGAGTTGTGCACAAACCAGTCCAGCTCCACTCCTGTCTTTGCCTTTAATCAGTTCAGTTTTTATAACCAGTAGCCATGAGGAAAGTCCAAAGCAAGGAAGGACCCACAGGGAAGGGAGAGAGAGAGCAACACCAGGAGCTCACATAGGGTGAGGAGAAGTCTCTGTTCCCAAGAGATGGTGTGAAAAATTCTCCTAATTCAGGGAGATCCAGGTAGAGTTCTCGGAAGGCTTCTACAGAGTCTTGGAAAAAAACTGACCCTGCAGTAACTGCTGATCTGGTGACCCCAAACAAAGCGTCACAGCAAAATACACAAACATCAAACTGTTTCCAAATACCTGAACTAAAAATCAGAAAAATACATGTACATTTACAGGGAGGGGAAAGAAAATCAACACCCAACTGGGTAATATTTACAATGTATACCTTCACATGCCAAAGAATGAGGAACTGCGACCCACAGCAGAGAGAAATATGAACCCATAGAAACAGCCCCAGTGTGACATGGGTAGCAGAATTTGTAGACAAGCTCTAGAAAATGTAATAACTGCACGGTATATATTCCAGAATCATAGG